ACTAACTTTTGCTCTTTTGGAATCGATACGGGGGTGGGTAGCACTTCTGTTAATCAGCCAAGCAAGCACTGTTATCGACCACAGTTATCTCTAAATGCCAAAATATGGGCTGATTTCTTACAATAACTTCTAAAAGTAGAGTTCCCCAACACTGCTTATCACGGGTGGTCCATCGGTTACAAGGTCATCTACGCTGTGGGCCAGGTGTGACAGAAGCACTGACATTGATTAATATCTGCACAAATACTCTTTGCTGACCTTCTTAGCCTCACATTTTTACACCTGGCACTGCCAATAATCCTCTTTGTGACCTTTGTGGTTGATTTTCGCTTGTTTTTCCTGTCATGCACAGTCAAACACCTAAGTGTTTAGCCTCTACCCATTATGGGCCTGATAAAGAGATAACACACGCCAATGCACCAACACACAGATGATTTATAGTCTTCATTGGCTGCTCCTCCTCAATACTCCCTCTTTGTGCTCAGACCTGAATTACGAATCAGTTTTACTAAAATACCTGTCAGAGGCTATACAGATGTGGCAATAAAAAAATGTGCATCACAGGGATAACTAACTAACCCTAACTAACTAACATCACTAACCCTAATTGCCCGTAGCAATTCCAATAGTCTTTCCACGCAGTGGGCATGATGTGTTAATTGTAGGCCATTCTAGCAGTGCTACCATAAAGCTGGTTTTTGCAATCAATGTCAAGCCTAAGCAAATTAACCCTGCTTGTATAAAGGTATGTACATTTTCCAATACCTTGTTATTGACTTTCTTGTTCCAATAAACGTTTAGGAGTTAAGTGAACAACTTGCTGCTGGATGGAATGATCTGGTGTTATTAGCTTGTACGAGTCCACACAATACCTACACCCACTGGGCCTGAATTGTGGTTACTGTTGAGTTGTTATTAGGGAGAGCTACGTCTGTCTTTGTGAATTATGTTTGATGTGCAGTGACTTATTGTTAAAAACAGCAGTGTTTCAAAGTGTGTCAGTCAAAACTGCTTTTTTTCTCTTCTTTCTTTTTTTAATTTCCTCTGGTAATTACTCCACTCATCTGTTATTCAAACACTGCCTTATTTTTAAATAAGGTTTGCCTTGCAATCGTGATTTTTGCTCCCTACACACTCAGCAGGGAATATCTGTTGAAGCTCATTTTGCTTGACAAAATTCATTCATCTGTAAGGTCCTACAACGTCATCAAACACAGGCAACAATTCAGTCATGCAGATTAGGAGTTTCAAATATAATGACATGATCATGTAAATAAAAATATTATAAATGACAATACTTCATTATAAATTTATATAATACATACAGGTGTGTTTATATAAAAATAAATGTTTTTTTATGTATTTCAGTTAATATAAATTGTATAATTTATCATACATAAACCCCTACATTTAGTGATACATGTGTTTGATATGTAATATTAAATTTAATGTGACTTTTAATTTTCAGTATTAATGTATTAATGTTTACATTAATTTATTTTAGCCAAGCTTTGTATAAATATCATTTAATTGACCATACTTTCATATAAATGTATATATGTACATATATGTATGTATGCATCTAGGTGTGTTTATATAAAAATACATACTATTATATATTCCAATTAATATAAATGGATTCATCATAGTTTATTTTAGCCAAACTTTGTGTGGTACTATAGTAGTATGCAATTGCTGAATCCCCCTGTTCACTTCTTGTGAATTGCTATAACTATGCACACTTCATCTCTATTTACGATTTGGAATTAAATTATATTGGCCAAATATTGACTTCGAAGTCGAGGGATTAGAATGTACCTTTAGCACATAGAATATGGACATGAAACAGAGTCTGTGACAAATTGAATCCTGAAAGCACAAAAGGCAAAGTAAATTTTTTAGATCTGACCAATCATAATGGGAAAAAAAATGACTTTGCTTGTACTTTCCTGTTTTCTGTCTTTTGAAATGTGGAGAGCTCCCTTAGCCTCACTGGTCATCACGTATACTAAAATGACCTCATTAGCTTGTGTCATATGGACTGAACAAGAGTAAATATGAGCCTTTAAGGTTGTTTCTCTCGTTTCAGCACCATGCGGTGGGCAGTACACTGGATCAGAGGGAGTGGTATTATCCCCAAATTACCCTCTCAACTACACGACAGGCCAGACCTGCTCCTACTACGTCACAGTGTCTGGAGAATTTGGTAAGTAAATAAAGTTACTTACAAAGGTCACAGTTCAGTTTATAGAGTTATTGGAGTGGGATGTATTAAAAAAGCTAAAAAAAAACGGCCAAAAAGCTGTTCACTCAGAAATCACTAGTAAATTTTAATTAAGCATTTGAAAATACCATAGTTGCAATGCTAACAATTTGTAATTCCTGCATAATGTTTACTTGAAGTCCGTCCCCCCCCCCCCCACCCAAATCTTTTTTTTGA